ACAAGAAATAAACTAAACTACTAATATCGAATTAAAACAAATTACAAATATGATTTATCTTCATCCAATACAAAACGGATATAGCTTAACATGTTAATATATAGATTACAAGAAGAATAATAGAAAAATATCACTTGACTCTTGAAACAATTCAAAAGATATAGATCTTCAAGCTCAAGGTTGAATTCTTCAAATTCTTGATGTTATTGACCTTCAATTCCTTACTAGATCTTGATCTTATCTCTCAAAATATAATAATTGACTTCTTGCTCTTAATGAATTTAATGTTACTATTGTGTATGAAGAGACAAAAGATATTTTTTCAATGTGTAATCCTCATTTTATATTTATAAGAGTCTAAAAGTATGTCAAAATTGCGTTTAATTTGGATTCCAAAGAGTTTGAATTGCGAAAGGAAATTACCGATTCATCTGCGAAAATGGCCTCCGCATGCACATCAGCATAACTACAGTGCGTGTCGTAGAGCCAAATGGCTCTTGGGTTGGAAAAACAATGCCTCGCGTGCGCGCGCCTAAATTGGCCCCTGCACGCCGGTTTGCGCTTGTCGTCCTTGAGCAGCTTTCGGTATTTTGGTCATAACATTATCTTTTGAAATTCAATTGAGGTGATTAAAAACATACTAGAAAGATAATTCAAAAGGCTACAATTATTCTAAGTACAATATTTCTAATTCGAATGTTTGCTATCCGAAAAAGGGTCTTAAGTTGAAGCTAATAATTCGGAGCATAACTTCTTTGACTGAAAATTGATTTGTAAAAATATTTCAATTATATTTCACTATTTTGACCTCCAATTACATCCAATTGATTATATATGATCTTCAATCATCGTTTTGTAGTCTGAATTAATTATTACACTTTGACCCACAAACTTTGAATTTCTTTCTTTTTGCCATTTTTCATTCATTTCTTCCAACTCCACCAATTTGTATTGAATTTAACCTAACAAACATAGTTAACACAAAATTAAGTTATAACTTATCTAAATCACTAACAAATACTCCAATTTAATGGCCTAAATAATTGTACAAAATTCACATATCACTAACCACATGTAAGAATATCCAATTATATTAGAATATTACATTATTAAATTTCTTGATGGCAAAAATTGTCTCCCCCATTTGCCATACAAACACATACGTTATGCGGGAACGAGGCATTGTGTTAATAAGTTAGCTCGGTTCCCCTTCTCAAATTGCCCTCCTTCCTAGAGCACATAAGATATATAATTGCATTGATGTTATTTTATTTTGTGTTACGAGAACTACTTCAGTTTCTTACAAGTATATTTACTCAGCAACCCTTTTTCCCTGTCTCCTTGCAAATATTCTCGAGAAAGTTCGACGATTCTATTCATAATTGATGAATTGCATGAGGAATTAGAATTTATGATGAAGTGGGATCGCAAGACAAAATAATGATTTCATGATAACTTTTGGTTTGTCCGTTTTTGGCGAATTAATAGTCTAATT